TTTAAGAACATAAATTGTAAAGAAATGAATCTACATATGTTATTATCAAATATAAAATCCGCACATACCTTTCCGCCAATGCATCTTCATCAAACAAGACACCAACATATTCAAGATGACTTCCCAACCATTCCACACCTTTACCAACTTTATCTTTATGATAATAAGTAGCAGCAGCAACAGCACCAACACCGACAGCGACCATACCAAACAAACTCCGTTTTCCCAATCCTGTATTAGAGATAGCGGAAGCACTAGCGACGGTCGATAATAAAGTAAGTGTACTACTGACGCTTTGTGTTGCTTTATTAAATCGATTGAGCGCAGTCTTTGAAAAAACATCACGGTGTACCCCATAATATGGGGTGTCATATGCGAACAATCCGATTATATTTGGTTTACAAGCCGTTCTTATTGTCTGATTTTCGTATCTTAATATTGTATCGGCAGCTAGAATACATTAAGTGAATAATTATGTGAAAAAAAAAATTTACGTAATAACGATTTCACTTACCTAAAATACCACCCATGGAATGTCCAAGTAAACAAACTCGAACGTTTCCAGTTAGCTTTTTGACCTCATTTTCCAGCCATAAGCAAAACGTTTCAACAGCCTCTTTTAAATTACCTCGAGTTTCATAACGAGGATAAACTATTGATCTTGTTTCTATGTTAAATATCTTTTCTTGAAGAACGTGTTGAAGGCGGTTCGGGAAGTCCTGTTATAAAAATTAGTCAAAAAAAAAGGAGAAAAAAAAAATACTGAATTTTGGCAAAATAAAAAGTAAATTTTATGAACCTATAATAAGGAAGGAAGGATGTAGATACAAACCAAAAAAGTTTCATCATCACCTTTGAAACCGTGAATGAATATAAGCAAAAGGTTATTTTTTCTTGAAAGGGACATTTTTTTGTTTTTCAAAATAAGACATACAAATAGGTAGTTTATATATATAACTTCCGACTGATTATCACATGTTTGAATGTAGATTTTACTTTAATAGTTTAGTCAACGATTTGTATTACGTAATATTTTTAATATATTCTTTGGAGTTTAGTGTTTTGCACAGCAAAAATTGCAAAAAATTTTATTATTTGAAATTGGTTATGTGACATATAAACGACCCGTATTACGAAATTCTGTAATTCGTTTTTTTTAAACATTAAAACTCCCGTGTACAAATAAAAAAATTCTTTTTTGAAATCATTAATTTATCATTAAATTATACTAATTAAGTAAGTTTAAATCTTCCCTGACATTGCCCTTTTGTTTTTACCATTTTTTGCAAGTACATTTACAGGAACATTTTCACTATTTACTACAGGTGCTTTTACAGAAACATTTTCACCATTTTCTAAAGGTGCATCTTTACCTTTATATTTTTCTACAGTAATTCTTATACAATCATCCGCAGCACCCCTTTTTGCGATTGGCAAAAGTGGGGGTTGATGTGAAAAAGATCCACTAATGGTGCAAATTCTAAAACGTCCAGGACTTAAACCATTTTCGACTTCAACACTTAATCTACCATGTTTATCGGCTTTATCATTTACACCTTTAAAGAATACAAAATCCTTGGTATTTGGAAGTCTATTTTCATTAATACTTTGAATGGTAACATGTACATGACCTTTTATCAAACCATGTTTGTTAAGTGTTTGCGGTAAGGTGTAATATTGTGTATCTGGATCACTAAAGAATCCGGTTGCTAAATTACCAACTAAAAACGAAACTTTGAATGGCACTTTAGCCTTCAATACTTTATTATTATCTGGGGAGGTGATAATTGTTGCAACCATATTGTCGACAGATGGTATCTCTCCTTGGATGGTCGTAGAGCAAGTTCCTTTAGGATCTTGCTTGCCTTTATTTAACTTTTGATGGTCACAAATATTTTTATCATCTGATAATGGAATCGATAAGGCATCGTTGATCAAGAGAATTACGAGGATTAAAGGATAAGCAAGAAAGAATTTCATGATGAAACTTTAGAGAGGTTTGGTCGTGAAGTCGATGAAGTCGTAAAGGTTTAGTCCTTTGCACCGGGCAATGAATTGATTTAAGTGAGGAATTTAATGAGGAAAAAAAAAAAACTTGGACAAAAAGGTTGGTTTTTATACATATTATTAAATCGTGGTTCGCTAAAAAAAAACTCATGATTTCTTTTGAAGATCAGTAACAGAATGAAATATTATGGGAATGAATCTGGAAACATTTCCGAATGATCAAGATTTCCCCCCATGAAGCAATTTCATATTAAATTGAAAGTCTATTATTTGAATGATCTTGGATTGTTGATCAAAAGTTCTTAAATCAATTTTTTGAGGATCATGATTTTTTTTACTTTATCTTATTCCTTAATAATAACTGGAAAAATTTTAATAAAGAACTTATTATCATCAAAAGAAAAAACATCTCTCTTTTTGCAATTATTTCGACACGTGAAAAACGAAATTTTTTAAATTATGGATTGTCACGTGATACATGATTTTAATTCTGCCGAATGTAATTTTAAAACTCGATCAATTCAAATTTTTTATTTTATAATAAAACGCGCAAAGAGGAAAAAAGAAAAGAAATGAAACGTTTTATGACAATTACTCTATTAGTTTAATGTTAATTTTCTTTACAAAAAAAAAATTTCAAAAAGAGATAAAAACAAATTTATGTGAAAGAAAGCAAGCGTAAACTAAAAGAAGTTATATGAAAAAAAATATATATATATATATCATTCCCAAGATAAAAAGAATAAAATCAAGAAAAATCCAAAAGTCAACACCTCCTTTACGCTTTACCACCAGATGCAGCAGCGGTGGTCTTGGCACCTTTGGTAGATTTCTTTGATTGAGCTCCACCACTTGCGCCAGTAGCACTAGTAACAGTAGTTGTAGGTTTAACCTTTTCGCTCCCTTTCTTTTTAGGTAACAATTCGGCATGGATATTTGGTAAAACACCACCTTCGGCTATATGAACATGTCTTAATAAAATATTTAATTCTTCGTCATTACGTATAGCTAATTGTAAATGTCTTGGTATGATACGTTGTTTCTTATTATCTCTTGCCGCATTTCCCGCTAATTCTAATACTTCTGCTGTTAAATATTCTATTACTGCTGCTAAATATACTGGTGCTCCCGCTCCTATTCTATCTGCATATCTACCTTTTTTCAATAATCTTGCCATACGACCAACTGGAAATGTTAACCCTAAAAATTTTTTTTTTAAAAAAAAAAAGAGAAAATTTTTCTTATGATTTGATTTTTTCATCAAGTTTTTTTTCAAAAACTTTATGAAAGATTAAATAAAGGAAATTTCGATGAAAAAAAAAAGGACCAAACCTGCTTTAATGCTCTTTGAGATTTTTGAAGTACTTGATGCTGCTGCAGAGGCTTTTGCTCCTCCTTTTCCGCCTTTTTTCTAAAAAAAGATTATAAATTGTCAAAAAAAGAACCCTCAACTTTTTTTTATTTCTTTATTTTTTTTTTTCAGTTTTCAAAATAGAAAGTTTTTATCTCAAATATAATTTGAAAAAAAAAAAAAAATTTTTTATTTTATATATATATTTTTTCTTTTAGACTAACTTTAGACTTTCCACCAGTTGTTTCTTCACCAGCTCCACTTGGAAGTGGAGCAGTATTTTCAGTTTGTCTTGTACGAGAAGCTCTTCCCGTTGCTTCTTTTTCAACTGTAGACATTTTTATTTTATTAAAAGGTAAATTTTACTTTACAAATAAAAATTTTCGATATAATGTGAGAAAAAAAAAAAAAAATGAAAAAAAAAAATTATCATTGCCAAATTAAATAAGCATATTTATTTTTCATTGTTGTAAATTTTGGGGTACATGCAAAAACTAACGAAGTTAGATTTTTAGAAAAAAAAAACAATCAAATTTGTGATGATAAAATTTATCCAGAATATCAATAAATTATTGTTCGTAATCCCCCAAAATTGAACCCTTTTATTTGATTGTGAAAGAACACCGCATCAAAAAATTTCCCTTTTTTTTTCATTGATTGGTGGTTTTTGTTCAAAAATTCCTTCGTGGAATAACATATATTGAAGTCAATAACGTTAATCTGTCCTTTTGGATTAAATCTTATCGAAGTCGAAAAATTAAAATTAACTAAACAACAAGTAAATGAATTATCAATTGTTTTGTTAAAAAGAACGTCGATTGTTGATCTTTTTTACGTCGTTAAGGTTTGAATCATACAACCGAACAAGTTCAATATATCGCGATGACTCTGCGTAATTAAGAAGAAAATTCTCCCAAAATGTAAAAATACAAGTTCAATAAAATCTACAATACGCGTTGATCAATATATTGACAAATGAATGGTTACCTTTGACAATAAATCACGCAACGCGAAGAAAATATGTCACAAAACGCGATGGTTGAAAATGCAAATTAAACAAATTAATTCAAAAAATCAAAAACTAGGGGATGAGCTTTTTCATCATATATCTGCCCTTAATAGTTTAGATTATTCATAAATAATTCCTAATAAAGGTAAAATAAGTAACTCAAAATTTCAAACGAATCATCATATTGAGAAAATGAATATCGCTTTTCAAAAAAAAAAAAAAAAAAAAAAAAAAAACTCCCTTTTGCAAATAATCTATCCATATATGTTTTATCATTTATAATGTTAAAATTTTATTAAATTTAAGTTAATCTAATTTTTTTTTTTTTGGTAATTAAATATATACAACGTTAACAACATGCTTTGCTTGCCTTTTTTTTATTAAAAAAAAAAAGGAAAATGTAATTGATCCTTTATTGATCTTCTTTGATAACAACGTAATATCGACCTATCCTTTCAGGTCTGTTTCTAATGTCTTTATCTTGAATAATTGTGAGTAACATATTTACAAGTGTTTTTGAAAAAATGTATAATGCCAGATAATAAGGAATTAAATATGGGTTATAAACTATAAATATAAATATTGTTAGTATTTTTTATTTTTTTAAAAAAAAATAAAAAAAAAAATATCTAATTACATACATTTACGTAATCCTCTGTTTAAACCTTCACCCTCAATTTTGGCCGTTTCGGCGGTTCTACAGAAAAAAAAAAAATTTTTTTTTTTTTAAATTTCTGTCGTTTTATTAAAAAAAAGATAAAAATGGATATTTATAACTTACCCCCTTTTTAAAGAAACCAAAATCAAGATCGTACAAATGGCACAATAAACAGCTAAACTAATCCGATGTATTTGACTTCTAGTCCATAAACTTAACCCAACATATTTATTAGGTATGCTCAAAATATCAACTCTCCTTTTTTCGTCATAAAAAAAGCATAATAGAAATGCCGGGGAATGCCACAAAGCTGTGAATGAAGAATCGTATCCCCTACGTCTTAATTCAATCGAAAGTGCAAATGCTACAATTGACGTAAAGATAAAATATATTACGGCTCCACCTATTAAACCCCAAAATAATCTTGATGCCGAACAATAGTCAAATTGTTCAATTTGAAATCTGTCTCCACATGCATCCATTAGAAAATTTTTTACTGTACTTCCATCCACTCCTAATTTCGCATATCTTTGCACATTATATCCTAGTAAAAATACATTCACCGCAAACATCTTTTTTTTTTTTTTTTTGAAACAGGAGTTAGGGGAAGAAATTCAATATTGTGTTTTTGAAACTAAAAAGGATTCAAAGATAAATCTTTTGACAGCTTACTTCATAATATTGCACAATTCTGCTAACCATTTCACCTTTAGTTATAACATGACCATTTTCGGGTGGTCTAAATACCCATCCATCTTTTTGAACATGACTTAGACTTTCATTCGATCTGTTATCATCGTCTCGATAAGGATGACCAGCCGGAACCTGCCTTGATGGTGAAGACTGTCTAGAAGTGGAAAGTTGTTGGGGTGGCGTAAGTTGCCTCGGAGGTGTGGGTTGACGAGAATATTGTTGTGGTGAAGGTTGTCTTGGTGGTTGTTGAGGATATTGTTGTTGTTGTGGATATGGTTGTTGTTGTGGATATGGTTGATGTTGTGGATAATATTGCTCTTGAGGGTAACCTTGTTGTGGGTATCCCGATTGAGGATACGGTGGTCCACCATTTTCACCCTCGGTAAGCCTCGATCTCGACATATTAAAATAAAAATAATAATTTATATATAAGGTTTAATAAAAAAAAAAATCAACTTTTGTTTTAATAAGTAAAAAGGAAATGAAATTCGAATTTTTTTTTTTAAAAAAAAAAGAAAGGCTCTACATATATATATACCGCATACACTGATGATACGCGTTTCTATAGTGACTTTATAATTGATATCCTAATTGAGGCTTTTGGTAATTGTCCGGCTTAGCATGATCTTGATATTTACAATTTTTGTTACTTGATTCATTTGATTTAATATAATCTTTAACTTTAAATGGACCGAAAAAAAATACATGCTGCATACTTTTTACAAATCAAGTAAATTCATGTATCTCCCTCCTATTAATTAATTATTCTCAAACAACGTTAGGTTTATTCTTTAAATTTGATACATGTATTACATTGTTTTTAGAACAAATCCTTTTTGGATGTGAAACCGTTTTTATTTTAAGGGTTAAGGGGTTATAACTTCGGCCGCGTATTCGATTATTCCCAAAATTGTTTAAATAATATCAATGAACATCTTATTTATTTATGGCTTACTGTAAAACCATTCATTTCCAAAAATAAATAAATAAAATGGCTTTATGTTTGTTACAATTTTGGCTTGGTACCCTTGGAGCATCCATGTGATCGAAAAAAAATGGTTATCATTGGTGATATGACATCATCCTTTTAATTGGTTTAGTCCATACAATATCATTTAGATTTATAAAGAAATTAATTTTAATTATACATATTTAATTAAAATATTTAAAATTATATTTTTTAAATGATATACATTAATCAGTTAAAGTTAATTTTTAATTAATTATATTATATATACTTAACTATTTCTAATTTTCTTTACTTATATAAAATAATAAGAAAAATAATTAAATAGCTTTTTTTTTTTTTACTAAATTTATATTTAATATAATCTTATAGTTCAGTGCAAAAAGATTGATACACAAAGATCATCACCTGATTTTCTTGTGTTACACAAAACTTCACAGATAAGATAAGGATGGTTCTAAACTTTAAAATAAAATAAAAATTTAACCGCCTTTCTTTTCAAATGGACAACTTAAAACAAGACCAAAGTTACCTGACTAGTAACGAAAAAAAGATGGTCATTCGTGTCCATCAATACTTTTTTGATATCTGACAGAGTAAGAAGAAGCATCAAGACTTACCACTACGCAAAGAGGTTGCTACGGCCCTTGGAATTGGGGAGGCAACAGTTGCGCGGTAATTTCTGAGTACAATAAAGATAAAAATGATGAACGGTTACTGCAAAAAATATATGAAAGACCAAAAAAAGAACTTAATGACAATATTATTAAAGTTATACGTACCTCTGTTATGTCTTCTAACCGTTCCAGCTTGCCATTTTTAACAAATAATTTGCGACAGGAGCTTGAAGAAAATGGCCATATACTTTCAAAATAGCAGTTACTTCGTAGACCATAAATTGTTTTTTACTCCACCTTACTATTGCGAACTTTAACCGATTGAGAGAGTTTAGTCAACTGTAAAAGGTGAAGTGGGGACAAGGGCAGTTCCCACTAAGGAGTGGTAGCCTCCCCAGTGCCTTCTTGCTATATTTCTTTGTATTCTTCTATTTCTCACATCTCTAGCTCATTATAATTACTAATTATATTTCTTGCCTAGCTGGAGACTCTACAATCTCTGAAATACTAATTATTAATCTTACTTAGCTAATTCTTTGGAATTGTATAAATACTAATTTGTTATTTTATTTAGCACGAGATTTTTGAAAGCAAATAAGCTTACTGTATGTGGAACAAAGTGGAGCGGTAAGCAAATTGTGAATACAAGATATGGAAACAAGGCAGTTCCAACTAGAGGTGAAAAGCATGTATACAAGATATGTTCACAGATATGTTCACAGATTGCAGAGCATCGAAGATGCGGAGCATATGTATACAAGATATGTTCACAGATATGTTTACAGATTGCGAAGCATTGAAGATGCAAAGCATATATACACAAGATATATTCACAGATATGTTCACAGGTTGCGGAGCATCGAAGATGCAGAGCATATGTACACAAGATATGTTCACAGGTTGCAG